CAGAGGGGAAGGTCTCTGGGCTGTTCCCCAACCCACGTGGTGAATCTCTGAGGCAGGAAAATCCGCCAATAAGCGCAGGACCCACCAAGATAGAGGAGGAACTTTGTCACACTGTATATAAAAGTAGGCTTAGAATGGAAAATTGTCAGAGAGCATATCAAACTATTTTTTCTCTTTATTTTTTTTTTTAGATTTGTTCTACATGGGCTTCATCGTCATGGGATTCATTTTCTTTGTATTATTTGCTAGAATAACCTCCCTTAGCTATGATGGTAAGTAAGGACAAACGTGTGTGTGTGTGTAAGATTGGGGTCAATGACAATATCCCATTGAAATCCGTTGGGACTGGATCATGGCTCTTTGATAGAAGTAAAAGTTGTCCGGACACAAACAAGGCCAACAAGATTCTGTTATGATGAATTAACATGTGACTGCCATCCTTAAAATTAAAAAGCTGGATCACTTTCCTGAATCATAATCCAGATTGTCTCAATAGTATCCAAAAGCCCAGAGTAACTGCTGGCTCATGATCTACTACTTTTGATTTAGGGTGAACTGTAGGATGGCAGAGGTTAAACTGGTTGGATTTGGATACTAGAGGAAGGCCATTATTTTAAAAAGCAGTGAAGTTGTATTGTGCCTCTTCCTCCACTGTCATTGCAGTAAGAAGGGATGGTCTTGTGTTTAAGGCACGAGCTTGGCACTCTTATTGCAATGACCGTACAAAATCCAGAAATCATTCTGTTGTCTCATACTGACTCTCTGGTATTCTGATCCGTGTCAGGAGGCATTTCAACAGGTACACATGGCTATAGCCAATTTTAATGGCTTCATTAACATTTGGGTTTCATCAGATAAGGGTAGACTTAATAAACGTATGTAATTGAAGTAGCATTGCATGCCAGCTCAACAACTGCAATCTTTTAGGACCTTACCAAAACTGGTTTTAATTTGACATCTTGGACACGCTTTCTTACCACACCCTGTCCCCCCATTCTCTTTTACAGTTTGTCTGATTCTGACAGCAGTAGCTGGACTCGTTGGAGGGCTTCTCTTGGTTGCTTATTGGTGGAGATTTGGCTTTGTCCTTCTCTGTATGTTGATTGTTGGACTTGTGCTGGGATTCTTCTTCTCATCCGTGATCTTCTTCACTCCACTAGGTATGCCGTGTAGCATTTTCTGTTACTGTCTGAATAGTCATTCAGAGACTACTGCTGCAGTGACACCAAACTACTGGGGTGGGGGCTGGCTTCTGAAGTAGATTCTGATGTCTTGCTACCTGTGCAGCTTGAGACTGGGCTTCTGGAGAGGATGCCACATGCTGGCTGGTCTGTGGCAAGTGACTGGAGTATTAAAATGGGTGTTAACTAATTATGTACTTCCGAAATGTTGGGAGGATTATGTAGTGTGTCTGCAGCACTTTTGAATTGATGAGTGCCGTTGCACATGGACAGAATGCTGTTTATAATAGGAGCTTTTAAAAAAACCAAATCCCCTAATATGTGGCAGACCGCAAATGACTTGGTATTTGAATATGTTGGGGCTCCCCCCAGAGTGCTTGGTATTTAAATTAGATTTCTGTCCCTGTGCACGTAGATCCATTCTTGCTTCTCCCTCTTCCCCCCCCCTCCCCCCCAAAACGGATGCGGGTTGCCCCAACGAAGAGTCTACAAGCCTGTAACTTGGGGAAGGGACTGTGCTTGAAGATGTTGTGAGAGCTGCTCCTTGTCTGGTTTGAGTGTTGGGAGATTAAAATACAAACAAAAAGCCTTGTGCACAGTCA